TGAGGCAAGGAGTCTTGCTCTGTCGCCGCAGTGCTGTGGAGGTGCAGTGGCCAGATCTCACTCCACGTGGCAAGCCTCCGGCCCTCGCCGGGTTTCACCCGATTCTACTGCTCAAGCCTTCGGCCGACTGTAGCTGGGAACTACAGGGCCGCCCGCCCCACCTCACCCGGCTAGTTTTTTTTTATTTTTTTATGTTAAGAGACGGGGTTTTCCATGTTGAGCCAGGATGTCTCGATCTCCTGACCTCGTGATCTGCCCGTTCTCGGCCTCCCAAAGTGCTGGGATTACAGGGCTTGAGCCCACCGTGCCGGCCAAAGGCAGAATTATTATAGGGTTTTTTAAAAATGTGAACATAGATGCGGCACCTACTTTTTAAACTGTGAAAAACTGGTATAATTGTTAACTTTTAAAAGTAACGTTTGGACACACTATAAACTAGTAAACATTTTTGTTTACAGATTGTTTTGTTTACAACACATTGTTACTCTTTTGTTTCGATGAGATACTTTTAGTGTTGACTTTAATGTCTTTTAGAAATTAAAGTTTTACAAAAAGTGATTTCATATGTTTATAAGCATTTATATGTGGGGCTTATACTGTTGTTTTTTCCATCTTAAATACCATCATGGCTCAAACTTAAGGGGAATTTGTAGGCTAATATCCATTTCAGTTTTATAACAGGGGCAGTAATAATTCTGATGAATGCTGGAATTAAGGAAGAAAATGGATATTTTCTTTCCCTGTTGTGCAGTATTGGTAGATCAATTTCTTATAACCCAAAATGTAGCATCAATAATTGATAGCATGTATTTATTTAATTACTTGAATTATTGAGACTTGTTTGATTTCTCTAATTTTTTCCATAAAAGGAGGCTGAACAGACCTACTTGTGGTCTGGACAGTTATCCCAGAGTTCTTGGAAGAATAAATGCTGTTAGTCTGGTTAATTTTAGCTGGCAGACAGAGACCACTCGTCATGGCTTTCAACTCTTTGACCACCGTAAGCAGATAACCCATCACACACCATACACTCTCTCTCTTCTCGTCTCGTCAGATACTATAACGCAAAAATTAACAAGACAGTAACCCATTTTTCCTAAGTGTGCATGCTGGCACCTTCTGTTTTAGTGTTTTTTAAAAATAACTAGACAGAGACACCTAAGTTATCTTGTGCCCTCCTAATAGATGCAATATACTCCCTAGTTGTTGCCCACCTTAGACGCTGGGTTATTCCGAGCGTGTGCCATGTCTACACCCACCTTAGACGCTGGGTTATTCCGAGCGTGTGCCATGTCTACACCCACTTGGCTTCTTCCCCTTAGGCCCACACCCTGCCCTTTCCTTGCCCCTTGTAGTTACCTGTGGCTGGAATGATGAGCGCCACTTCCAAGCGTGGCCTGGAACAATGTCCTCCTGCCCCTCCACCAGCGGTGGGAGGATTCACTGGGGACTCTGGGGCAAAGGAGACTGTGTCACAAGACAAAAGGGAGCCAGGGTCACACGTGGCCGACCCTCACCCTGCCTCACCCCACGGCTGACATGGGTTGGACACCTCAGAAATCATGTGTCTTCAGCGAGCCACTGAGATTTGGGGCTTTACCTGTGACTTGGCTAGGGTTAACCTAACTGATAAGACTGTAACTGGTTACTGTAAATAACCAAGCTCCCAGTAATAGTAAACCAGTGACAAAAACAATTCTTATCCAAAAAGGTTCGCATTTTTTTAATGTATGAACTAAAACAGTCTTTATTGCTCTAAGACATTAAACTTTGCATTTTTTTATGTTGAATACAACTGAATATTTTCATATTTTATGACAAACACAGCAATTATTACAAAAGGAATATTAGGAATGGCAAAGGCTTCAAGACAAAGTCTTAGTGGAAAACATTTGGAACTTAAGGAGTGTTTTACATTTGGAACTTACTGTAAGGAGTGTCGGTCAGACACTAGCTGTCTCTTAACCTCCATTTTTAAAAGCAAGCAAGCTCTCATTTTTTGCCATTCATATTTCAAGTGATTCAACTCATAAATTTGAAATTTACTTTTTAGAGACAAAAGACTAAAATTAGATGTGCTGTCATCTTTTAAAATAAACTTAGATTTCCTACAACTACCAATAGCTTATTTCCCTGGGAAACAGATTGCATTGTAGTACTTAACCCAGAACTCATGCAGTTCATCCAAAATGATGGTAAACTTTGTTCCTCAGAATTACCTAACTTTCAAGAATCTTCTTCTGGTAGCAGGAGCGGCAGAGAGGACAGGCATGGAAAGGAGGCCTGTCTCCCACGGAGAACTCCTCCAGTGCGAGCAGACACGCATGGTGGAACACGTGTGAGCAGGACAGGAGGGCCGTCTCTCGGGAACGCTGGCCCGCCCCCACGCGCTGACCGCCAGCAGGGGAGAGAGGCGCCAGGCAGATGGAGCACTCGTGGGTCTCCCGGCGCAGAGCCTGCGGCACACGGGACAGGAGGAGGCCACGCAGGTTAGTTTCATCACAGCAGAAAGTGACTTAAACTGAAATGAGCATCAAGTGCCCCGAGACGTGGGTCTTCTAAACATGCGGAAGTTTCATTCTGTGTTAAAATCACATGGATTATATATATATACTCTGTTACTCCTGGGAACTGTGGAAAGGGTTAGTAACCTACCTGTGACAAGCAATTTTGAAACAAAAATACTTTCTAAAATGCTGAACATTAATATTTCCTTTTAAGTAAGCAATCAAGAGGACTATTTTTCAAAACACTTGACGAACTGCTAAACTTTCCCAAATTTCCTAATTTTATGGTTTTTAAAGTAAGTTTTCCCCGCCTTGGCTTGAGTCATCTCATGGTCGTTTTCAGGCAGGAACTTTCAGGAAACCTGGGAAGGCGATCTGTTCCCTTCGGTGTTTTCACGGTTCACAAAACGGCATCATACAACAGGAACTTCCAGAATTTCAAACCAAAGGGTCCTTTGCCGTCACCCTAAAGGCCACGACAAAGGTCCTACCATGGGTGCAGGGGCAGCTACGGCAGAGGTTACCCCGGGGCCCGACACTCCCAGGGTCCCCAAAGTGAGTCCTCGACCTCCCGCCACCAGCCGCTCCCCACAGCCTCCGCGGCTGCAGCTGAGTCCGCTGGTTGCCAGGCCGCCAGCTAAGCCTACCTGTACTTGGATTTTCTCCCATTCCTCTTCTGTGATCTCATGGCCGTATTTTTCTTCGAACTGCTGAAGAACGCTTCGGTTTATGGCCAAGCACCGATCGATCTCTGCAAAGAGCTCTTCGATGTTGGTGTTGTATGAGCACAGGATTCGGTGGCTGATTTCTGTGAACTGGGGAGGACAGAGGGAGGGTCAGGCTCACACCCGAGCTTGGTGCAGGTCGCAGGGAAACGCTCTTGAGCCTGACCATCTATTTTGGTAACCTTCCTCGTCTCTGTCTTCAAAGAATACTTTTTAGGGAAATAGATATATGTCTATCTTACTTAACTATAAATCCAGATAATCTATCTGGACAGATGACCACAAGAACCCCTATCTAATGGGGTTCAGACTACACTACCCCAAAATAGGGCACCTTGGCACACTGAATATTTTAAGGAAAAAACATTCCTTCCCAAAGGAATTTGAGAAATGACAGCTGCAGGAGGGACCGTCTGACCTCTCCCCACCCCTGAAGTGGGTCACAGGACCCTCCTGTGAGAGGCCCCCTCGTCTCCAAAGACAGAGGGAGCCGGGAGTAGGCTGAGCACACACAGGCCCTGCCGTGGTTCCCACCCACCACCCTCAGCTCACTCCCCTTGCACGCTTCCCCACGGCCTCCACGTCCTCAGTCCAGCCTCGCATAGAAAGCGCTCAGGCCTCACTGTCTCTTCAGGTCTCCACTGCCTTAGGAAGGCTTCCATATCAAATGGACTTATTCAGTAAATCTGTGTAATTTTCTTTTGTTAAGCTTTTTGTCTAATTTACAGGGCTCCAGCTAAAGAATGGAGGCGGCTAGGGGAAAAGGGTATATTGTTTCCCTCCCCTGCTGTTTTCTTGGTTGTGAGCTTTGACCATTAGCAGGAACACATTTGAAAGTAAAAGTTGAGAGAAAAATTTGAATTTTGCAGGATCAGCTCTGTCCCACGGAAACGTACTGTGAGCTACATATGTAATTTTAAAATTTCTGGCAGTCACATTAAGTTTTTTAAAAGGCGAAATTAATTTTAATATTGTATTTGACCCAACATATCCAAAATATTATCACTTCAACGTTCATTAATTGAATACAGTATTTTGGTTTTCTGGTATTTTTGTTTGGTTTGGTGGAGACAGCATCTTGCTCTGTCACCCAGAATGGAGTGCGTGGGGCCATCAGTGCTTCCTCACCATCGGCCTCCCAGGTTCAAGCCATCCTACCCTATAAAGGTCTGAGTCATTGCAGAGCGGTCACCGGTGTCATCTGAGGCTCGGAGAGGTAGCTCATTCAGGGCCACACCAGCAGCTCCTTTTCCGGAAGCGTGAAGACGAATGTAAAGCGAAGGAGAGTAAGGTGTGTGAAAGGCTGTGCCAATGGCGACTGTCAGCCACGCTGTCTGCCCTCTTGCTTGTCCCTTCAAGGGCAGAGCTGTGGCTCACCCAGAGATGCCATCTCCCATTCCCCCAAGCCCAGGTGGGTCCAGGTGAAATAGTTCTTCCAGATGGACGTGGCTCGTGTCTCTTCTGGGTGTTCTCCAGGCCCGGGGGGTGGCAGATGAAGGGCAGAGGGAGACAGTTCCCGAGCCCCACAGGCCGGCATGTTGCCTGCAAGTCAGGACACCTGAACTGTCCTGAGATGGAAGCTCCGGCTTTCAGTCACTGAAATTCGAGGGTTCTTTGTCCAGCAGTTAGAAGTGCCCTGATTCAGGAGTTACATCTGCTTCATGGAATCAGGCTTGAAGCCCAAAGAAGGATGAAATGAAGAGGGCCCATGGGGATCTCACACATTTAGATGTGTGATGGGGAAAATGCATTTTGGATGGTCCATGATTGTCCAGGTTTCAAATATTCTAGTCTACCGGAGACCTCACGTTCTTTTTCTTTTTTTTATTTAACGTGGAGCAACCTGGCAGAAGGTCACCTGGCAGAAGGTCACCTGGCAGAACGTCATGTGTATTTAAGTCCCCAGACTTCGGAAGGTGCCTTTGAGGACATGGAGTTCTCTTCCAGTTCTCTCCCTTCTGCAAAAAGATCGTGAGACAGCGCGGGGTGGAGTGCTGTGGAGACTACGAGCTGCCTTTGTCCCTGGGATGTTGGAAGAATGAGTATTGGCTTTAAGGATGAGAGATCCTTTTGAGTAAAGAACATTCTGTGAACACAGCGGGCGGCCCACAAGGGTTGGGGTTTGAATGAAGGGGGTGGCTGAGGATCTTCCAGGCACCTGTGTTTTGGGATTAGCCGTACTTGGAAGCCCGGTGGAAGCTGCTTTTCTATTTATGAGTCAAATTCTCTTTCACTCTGAATGTAATTATAATTGCCAAGCAGCTGTATCTTAATTTAGGGTCTTCAATTGGTAATGTTTCCTAAGGCTTTAATTTTAGTTTTCTTTGTTCCTTGGCCTTTCAAATATCTAATAATATCTAAATAAATTATTGAAAGTAGAAGAGTTCTCTATATGTTGTAAAAGGAAAAATTACTTGGAAATATATACAGTTACCTCCAATTGATGCTTTGTAATTCAGGTTTTCTGTAAATTGTTTTTAAGTGTGAGATACTTTCCACATATGCCTGAAAAGCAAGATCTTTTCTTCCTTCAAAATTATACCTCAGAGAAAGGGTCACATTCTATCCAGACCTTGCGAAGTGTTTCAAGTTGTGCGGCATGTTCTGAGATGAGTTTTGAACATAAAAATACTATTTGGAATGATTGATAAATTGAGTGAAATGATCAATATGATCTGGGTGTTTATTCTCAAAGTGGGGCCCAGACCCGCAGCCTCAGCTCCTGGGAATCTGAGAGAAAAGCAGAGCTTCAGGCTTTGCCCCAGGCCTGCAGAGGGCAGTCTGGGTAGGGGGTGGGGTAAGCCCTGTAATCTGTGTTTTCCAAGCCCTCCAGGTGATTCTGAGGCCCATTCAGGTTGAAGAACCAGGGTCACAGAAGTTACCGATCACATTTTTTAAATATGCAAAGTTATTTAACACAGCATTATTGATCATTCCTGAGGTGTCACCTCCCAACTCCAAGCATGGGCATCGCTGTGAGTGAGCTTTCAGAAGCCACTTGAGGAACACAGTAAGTGCGTGGGCCACATATACATACCTACGTACGTTGATATGCATTTACGTTACAGTATCACCTGTGTGTGCATATATTCTATCATACGCGAGTGTCCCTCTCTCTCTACAGGATGCCTGGAGGAATCCCAGCTGTCCTGATGTTACATGAATGAGTTACTTGCAGCTCAAGGTAAACTTCCAAAGACAGCATCATTAGGACTGTTTAAAGTACATTTTCCTTCAAACGCATTAGATGGAAATAGAGCTCATATGCTCTGAACAACTGTGTTGGGCGACTCCTAAGTGCCCTATTTATGACAAAGACTCTGAGGTCCAATACTGATGTCACCTAAATGCCTCCTCCTGCCTCAGTCGCTGTGGCTTACAGGTCCTATCTCCTTTATTAGAACGTCAGATCCTGGGGCCAGGAGTGTTGTTCTTAACACTGATAATACCATCCAGGGTTTTTAAAGGGTTTTGCATCTGTCATTACATCCCGCCTTTAAACCCTCTCAAGAGCTCAGTACGTGCACTGACCATAGCAGGCGCTTGTTGAAAAAAACAGACTTGTCGATTTTGCATATATACCAAATAAATCTCAGGGAGAGTGGCCCTTCACACTCAGTGCTCCAGTCTTAATAGTAACTGGTGTAATATGGCAAGAAAGCAAATAAATGCTTAGGGTATGTTAATATACATAAGAATCACAAACTAATTCCACACTCAGGTGTTTGATTCCACACAAGAAAACCTAGCATGGCAGATGCAAATATCCTTTCCACAAGTTTTGATGAAATATTCCATTCCACAAGTGTTGTTATGTACTTTTGCTATTCAATTGAAATTTTTTCTAATTTCCATTATAATAGGTTATTTAGAACTGTTTATTAATTTCCAAATGTGAGAGATTTCTGTTTTTAAAAAACATTTATTTCTAGCCTCAGCTGCACTGTGGTCAGGGAACATACTCTATACCACCTAAGTTTCTTAAAGTACATGGACATAAAGATGGTAACATGAGATACTGGGATGACTGGGGAGGGACACAAGGGCTGAAAAACCAACTTTTGGGTACTATGCTCATGAGCTGGGTGACAGGATCATCTGTACCCCAAACATCGCCGTCCTGCAATACATCCAGTAACAAACCTACACAGGCACCCCCAAATCCAAAAGCTGAAATTACAAAACATAAATGTCTCAACCTGTGATGAAATTTGCATCAGGGACAAGTATATGGTCAGTTTTTATAATGATATCTTTGTACTTTGAAAGAAAATATGTGCTACAGTTGCTCGGTGTGGTGGTCTACACCATTCTCTCTAATAAACGCCTTTGCTTTAAAATCTCTTTTGTCAGGTATCAATATATCAGCTTTCTTCTGTGAAGAGTTTGTGTGTATATTATAGTACGTATAATATGTGATACACACTCACACACACACACAGTTCTTATGTTTTCAGGCATCTCCTCTGAGTAACACGTACCTAAGCTGGTTGCTGGAGCACTCAGTCCACTTTGTGTTGTTACTCACACACAAACGGTACACCTGTCCTGCTCTGTGCCTTCCATCTGCCCTGCCATGTTTTTGAAATTTCGCTCTTTTCAATGAAAATTTTCTATTCTCTTTACTATTTTGAAGGTTAAAACTCTGCTTCTATTCTTTTAGCTGTTGCCCTAGAAGTACATACTTATACATTATTAAGGTCTACATTGGAATTTTTATCCCTTGAACCAATACAAGGATCTCAGCGTACTTCGTAATGTTCCTCTCCTGCTTTATGTTATTTTTGTCCTAAGCTTTCTCTCTCTCTCTCTCTTTTAACCTGAGACATGCTGATTCTCGTTTGGTGGAATCAATGACTATTAGATTTACTCACATTTTTACCACTGACATCTCAGATTTCCCGTCTGGGGCCATTTTCCTTCCTCATGCAATGCATCCTTTAGAATTTCCTTTAATGAAGACATTCTGGTGGCACACTCTGTCTGATGGCTTTTCTTTTGCCTCTCTTCTTGAATGTAATTTTCATTTGGTTCATATGGAAGTCTAGGCTGACGGTTAGGTCTCTTCCGAAACACGGAGATGTCACCCCACCTTCTGCCGTTCCCACTGGGAAATCTGCAGGGCTACGGGGTTTGCCGTCGTCGATCCTCGTTCCTGGCCACCTCCAAGATGACTCAGCGCCGCGCGTTCTGCAGGCTCACTAGACACTTAAACAAAGTCATATGGGGCTTCCTTGGGCTTCTGAAATCTGTGGCTTGCGTCTTCAGATCTGGGAAATTCTTAGCCTTCGCTGCTTTAAGCTGTTTGCCTCTGTCCCACATGTTCTCTTTTTCTCTTCGAATTCTGACAGTGACACGAAACCCTGCGCCACATCCTTTCTTACGCAAGGCAGTTTCCTGGACCCGTCTTCCCAGGGGATACGAAACGCAGGCTCACCCTTGTAGACCTGACTCCTCAGTGAGCTGAAGGCAGGGCTTGGCTAGAACGTGTGTGTATCAAGAGCCAAAGTCCAAACAGCAGAGCCAGCCGTGCTTAGCATCCGGCTCGTCCGGAAAGAAGGAAATGTGTGTGCACTAGGGGGTGGGAAATACCAGCTGTGTACTTTTTGGTGATTCCACGTATGAATTAAATGCTCTTATATTTGCACTTAAAACAGACATTCTGGTGTAAAGATGCACTGTGAAAGTCATAAAATTTATAATTTAATTTTTTCTTAGGATAACATTAAATAGCAAATAAAAAACACTACACGGCCACTGGAGAGAGAGGCCACAGAAGTACATAGAGCTTTATACTTTTAGTACGTGAATGGCACTTTCCCCATGTTTTCTCTTTTAAACGGGGATCTGTGTTTTCATTTTCATGGCACTAGGCCATGCCTGCCTGCCTTCCTGTCACCTGGAACACAGCTCCCCAGCCCCGCATGCTACAGCCCAGCTGTGCGTCTCATGTGGTTATTCTGGGCCTCCCCTCCACGGGCACGCCCTGCGGAGGCTCCCAGGAAGCCCCTGTGCTGGAGGGGCCGAGTCATGGCCCTTTCTCCCTGGGAGTCCCCAGCCCTGCCCTCTTCACCCTCTTTGGTCTGGGTCCCAGCTGCTGACCTCGCACCCCCGGGGCTCTGAGGGCAGTTTCCAGTTTTCATGTGGCTGCGGGTCGCCTTCTTGAAAATGACCTGTCCGCTCAGCGCCCAGCTCAGGGCCTCACAGAGGTCTGGGTCCTGAAAGGGTCACCTGTGCCCAGCGACTCACACTCTCCCAGCCTGCCCCTCCCAGACGCCAAGCCGCGCTGCCCTCTGCCTGGACAGAGGTTCCAGGGAACGGCACGGTCCCTCCATTGGGGTTCAGGGTGCATCTCCTCAGACATTTCCACCTTATTTCAAACATCTCACCCCCACTTCACGCTCTCTCCCCTTCCTCTCTTTGTATTTTTCTTCCTGGCACTTATTACTTCTTGAACAAAGTATTTTATTTATTGTCTCTCCGCAGCCCCCTGCAGGAAGGGTGCCCCGCAGCAGCCGGGAACCACCCGAGAGGCCTCCACATGCACCTGGACAGGCGCGCGGGCTGGGTGCTCACACCTGGGCCCCAGAGGTGCTGGTCAGCACCCCCTTTACAATGAAGGCTCGCAAAGTACACAACTCCAAGTGCCGGTCCATGAAAGCAGGTCACACAGACTTTTAATACAGTTAAGTCGAATTTATATTTTAATATTCATTCACCCTACGTAACCAAATACCATTTTTACACTTATTAACAATACTTTTTTTCCCTTAATTTAAGAGGAATTAAAGCATTTCCTCAATGAGAAAAACAATTCCCTTTATATGTAATGGTGGTTAAAGACTATTAATATGCATTTTAATCAATCTAAAGTAAATATTTTTAACTTAAATTTACCACTTACAGGATCCGCACGGTGAATGACAACAATTTCTAAAGGGGCTGGGGTGAAAAGAGTTGGGGAAGTGCTGAGCTGCCATGGAACAGGCACTGTGCTAGCCTGATGGTCTGGAGGACAAACACTGGTTCCTTTAACAAAGAGCTCCCGTGTAGCAAGAAAAGCCCCGCTGACGATGGAATGACGATGGAATGCGATGGAATGCGTGCTGCTGTGGCACCGGACTGGGGAGACGGAGGAGGGAGGGAGGGAGGGAGGAATCGCCGGGCTTCTTGGGAAGTCAGCCCTGGGCCGACGCAGCCGGTGGGACAGGGACCTGGGAAGGAAGGAGTGAGGACACAGGCAGAGGGACAATGCAGGGGGCAAGACCCACAAGGGCAAGTCACTGGAGCCCAGCCCCACCCACCTCCCTCCACAGCCTCTGTCCTCTGGGAACGCTCTCCCAGGTCACTCCCCACAGGCCACCCTCCTTCCCTCTTGTTCCTTCCTTTCCTGTGTGAATCTTATGGTCTGGCCAAACTTGTTGACTCAGTTCAGTGAAATCACTGTTAGATATTTCTGTTTCCTTGACTGCACATGAATGGCCAGTGGGATCCATGTGTCCAGGTACCTGGGCTGGAGGTGACCTCTCTCCTCTGAGCTCTCACAGGGCACTGCTGCTCCTTTCATTCCACACACGTCAGCTGCCCAGTGTTAGCTTTTTCCTGTGTGCATTGCTTATCTCCTTGAATGAGCGCCTTAGATTCAGGGAAGCACCAATTCATCTTTGTAAGGCCCTTAGCATTCAAGAAATTTTGACTTTAGGTTTGCAACAGATGAGAAATGAGAGCAAATATATGCCTCAAATGTACATATTCCAAAGGAGTGCAGCAGAAATCCTTTTTGGGGGAACTGAGAAAAAACACTGCCTACCTAAAATGATTTTCAAGTTACTTCCAGTGTCAAAATTCAGCAAAACATCAACTTTAGCTTATAATCATAACATTGACATTAGCTTATTAATAAATATACTGAAAGTCCTTTCATAGGCATTTATGACAAATTTAAAAAGTGAACTGGGATGAATATTCTCATAGCTTTGAGTATTCAAAAGTTAGCAAGGGTGGTACTTGTAAAAGTCAACATTTATTAACTGCTGTAGTTAATTCAAAGTAATATTCTGTGGTTAGCTACTGTTAAATATTTTTAATTGTCAAATTTCTTCTGTGTGCAACGTTCTTTATTCCTTTATTTACTCCCTCACTTTTCATGTGGGTTAGATGACCTTGGTGACTGAAAGGGCAAGAACTGTCAAAAACAAATGACAACTGATTTCTAGGTTTTAAACAAATGGTTGATATTATGAATTCTACAGAAACAGACAAAATACCTGAACATTTTCAATTTTACAAAGAATGAATGTCTTAATGTATTTTTCCTTTTAAGCCTCACATTTCAGATACTTGATAAACTAAGAGTTTGAGTTACTGATATGTAAAACAACTACTGGTCATTTACAAGTAACAAGCTGGCTAAACATTTTTTAAAAATATACTAACAAAAGCACCCAGGTGAACTCTGTCTACCCAGGAGGGCTTTTTAAGTGATCCATCTTGATGTCAGCAAATTGCTTACTAATGTGTTGACTTATGGCTGCCCTCAAAAGCAAAATGAAAAGCCTGGAATTTACAGCATATCAATGAATCAGTTGATAAGCTTTTACTGGTTTAATATCCTTCCAGTCCTGCTGCTTGGAGCCACTTCAAGTTAGCAACAGAATGTTTGCCATCTCTATGTGATAAAGGAAGTCAAAGGACTAAGCAAACTTTAAGACCATTATGCTGTTTGGTGAGATGTAAGTGAAAAAAGTCAGAGAAATCTTGTGCTGGAGGGTGTGGGAGCCAGCAGCCCCTAAAGCTGCCCCAGCATCTGACAAATCACTCACCCCACTTTCTAAACAATGTCCGGGACTTTTAGCTGGGGTGGAGATAATATAATGCACTTGAGAAGTTTTAATTGCAGCAATAAAAGCCCCTACCTCAATCATATGACATATGCTAGCAGAGTTTCCAGATAAGGATCAAAGGCAGTCAGGCCCGGCCGCTGCATTCTGGGCAACACTGTGGACTTTCTGTACACACGGTGCTAGGTATTAGCAGAACAGCTCGAGTGACCTTTCCAGGCCTCTTTGATCTGCGTTCCTCAAAACCTGAATGAATAAGTGTACGAGGACTACTGTATCATCCCCAGACAACTCAAACACCCTCTCTGACAAAGGCATTTCTGAGTGAATTTTTATTCTCTGACACTTACCTAAGGGTACAAAACTCAACATCTGACCTTTTCAGTTCTTACCACAAGACTTCAACATAGCTGAAAGGACCTACATTGTAGCACAACATCAGTGCTGTGGCTGGGTTTTGTTAGGAATGTGTCAATGACATCTTAGAGTTGTGAAAAGAAACCTGCAAGCGTTCCTCTTACAGAAAGAGGGTCCCTGTGTTTCACTCATCAACACCCAAAAGGTGCATGAAAACTGAAGACAACACTTCACTACCTCTCTCTGTAGTAGAGGAGTAAAAATGTAGGAGCAAAGTTCGACAAGCAAAATAGATTAATTTATAAAAACAGAATGGCTTGGGCTAATCTCATCCTGAGTATTAAAAACGTATCCCTCTTGGTGAGATCCTAAAACATATAAGGGAAACAAACACTTCCTAATCAGCTATGTCTAAAAATATCAAACTATTATCCCTCCTTGCCCTTCTCTCTATTGATTAGACTTCTCTTTCCCTAAAGGCAACTTATCTTCGATCGAAACCAATGGTTCCCAAGTATAGCAAACAAGTTTTCACATATCTGCCAGCCAAGAAAGAATAAATTCAAGGGAGTGAAACATTTGTAAGGCCAAATGTCTGCAGTGTGAAAGGAATATCCTTTAGTGTGCGGTCAGGTATTTTTTTCTTTTCTGGTGTTCAAATGATCTTTCTTTTCTGAAATGATTCTGATGGTACGTGGTGTTTTGTTTTTTCCTCTAACTTGGTGGGATGAGTTTAAAAAGTTGGCACTGACTTCGTTGAAGCCCCAGGTTTCTCTAGTAGTTCGGCAGAGTCCAGAAGACTGAGAAGCCCTGAAGCTGGTCTTTATTTAGTTCACATTTTTAGTTCTGAAGAACTTTTGGAAATATAAAGGAACAAATGTAATGAGAAAATGAAGACTGAGTTGAGAACCTGAGACCAACAGTTATATTTTTATTTTAAATATCTTAATCTGTGATTTCTAGAAGCTTAAAAAGCCTCATTTTACTTATAATCTTATGTTAAAATTTTTATAGGTACTTGAAAGCAGTTCAATTCTTTTTTTTTTTTTTTTTTACTGAAACATGTTTGTTTCTTGGTGAAAATAATAAAATTATGTTTCTATCATTGGAAAAATGACATTTTCACATGTTACACCCAGATTAAACCGGATAAACTTGATAATAGTATACTATTATTCTAGATAAAAAGACTGTTCTGCGGATGATGATGAATTTCTTTATGATAGGGTCTGTGTATTATTTGTCTCACATTTATTATTAAGCTCTTCCAGTTTTGAGCTGTCAGATATTCTACTCATACGATTACATCTTTAAAAAAGAACAATAAAATGGATGCAACCCCTAAATATGAATATATAATATATACGAGGAAATTCTCCACTGGTACTAAACATGTAAATCAAGATGATCATTTTGCCTTGTCAACCAGGAGAAATTACCACCTAGTGTGTTCCTGCAATGTTTTCCTTTTTTTTTTGGATGGAGTTTCACTCTTGTCGCCCAGGCTGGAATGCAATGGTGCGATCTTGGCTCACCGCAACCTCTGCCTCCCGGGTGCAAGCGATTCTCCTGCCTCAGCCTCCTGAGTAGCTGGGATTACAGGCGTGCACCACCACACCCGGCTAATACTGTATTTCTAGTAGAGAAGGGGTTTCTCCATGTTGGTCGGGCTGGTCTTAAACTCCCAACCTCAGGTGATCTGCCTGCCTCAGCCTCCCAAAGTGCTGGGATTACAGGCGTGAGGAGCCGCCGCGCCCGGCCCTTGCAATGTTTTTCTATAGCCTTGCCTTCAGAATGTTGTAAAAGCCACTGTGGCAATCGCGCAACGTACCGTTTGCATCAGAGCTGAATCAGGTCCAGGCTCCCTCCCAGCTCTCTGAACTGCACACGTTCTGTTAGGATCGTGGTGTTTTGTCTGTTCCCTCCATGTCTCCCCTGACTAACAAAGCACAGGCAGAGAGCAGGCACCCACGAAGCTATTTGACTCTATTAATTCCATGTATCCATTAAAATGTATTTAAGAATGTAATCCATGTGGAATGTTTTTGGCAGTAAGGTATAAAGCAGTGTTCTTTAATCCCTCTTCACATGAATGAACTCAATTTCCCAACTGATTTTTCTCAAATAATTTTTTTCTCCAATGGTCTGAAATACCTTCTTTACTACACTAAAATGTCCTGTATGCTGAGATGTGTGACTTAATATTGTTTCACTGTTTGTCTATTATTCCCCAAGAATCTTAGTTGCCAAATTTATATATTTTGATATCTAACAAGGCTGTTCTAGCTCATCAATCTGTCTTTTAAAAAAATTATTAGCTCTTCATACCTCCTTAGATAAACTTCAGAGTTAACCTGTAAAATCCCAAATGCACAGCCTATACTACTCCTTTGGGAGTTAGAAACTACATTAAATTTATATAAGCTAAGTGGACATTTTTACTCATTCCAGTGTAAAATGTCTATCATGTTATTCAGGCCTTTTATTCCATCAGAAAAAAAAACTTTTTTTATCAGTGGTACATTCCTTGTTTAGCTTATTTTAATATAAATAGAAAATTGTAATATACATGTATGGATTTATATAATATACATAACATATGTACACATACATGCACACACATATATTTTGTTTTCATGTGTTATTGGCAAGGATTGGCTCAAGTGTGATGACAAACGAACCTAGTTTTCTTTATGATTTTACTCTCTAAAACAAGGTGTTTTTAGTATTTGACACATAGTTTTTACTGTGACAAGGAAATTTCATTCTAGTTCTAATGTCTGTCGTTACTAAGAATGGCTGTTAAATTTTATTAAATATCTTTTCAGTAAAAACTGAGATGCTCATATAATTTTTTTCAGTCATTTCATACTTTAAATTTCTTTCCATGTTTGCTATTTTTACAGGAAGTAATTCAATTATATTTGCAGTTCTAATTGCATAAAGTTGTATCCACCAATTTTGTAATTTTAAAATGATTTCTATTTAGATGAGTACCCCTCTCTGTGTATCTACAGAAAACCACTGTCCCAGTTCAAGCAGTCAGGCAGAGACAGAGAGAGAGAAAGCCCACGCAAGAGAGTGAGACCGTGCCTGTGTGCACACACAATTCACTCTACTGAGTCCACTGATGCAAACGCTCAGCTCATCTGGACACACCTCACAGACACACCCAGAAATAATGTTTAACCAGATAACCTGAGCATCCCTTAGCCCAGTCAAGTTGACACATAAATTAACCATCACACCTGGGTAATGTGACATTCAATAACCTAGTTCAATAATCTTTCAGATTCCATTAAACATGCAGGGCATCCTAAAATTGTAGATTAACATTTCCGAGAGGACTCCCTTCACTCACAGAACGAGTTTATTCCATTGGAAAGGTAGAAAAAAAGCATCAAATTGTGAGGTCATTTGGTAAATGATGAAGTGGTCTTTATTATAAAGGACAGCCTTTGAGTTCTACTCATATAGGTATATACGCACACAGGGCATGGACCCATATAGGCAACTACTACCCACTGTTAATACACTGTCTGACAGTCAGTTCAATCTTCATTTATTTAACATGAGATCTGAGTTTACAGATTTCAAGTGTTTATGGCCAAATGGGATAACTGAGCAAGAGTTACATGACAGGATGCCTATTCATGTAACAAATGATGAGTATAACTCACTATGATATGTGTGTGTGTGTGTGTGTGTGTATGTGTACATCTCCTGTCGCTCCCCACCTGTACACTTGAAACTTGAATGAGGTAAGATTACAGTTCAGGGGATAACACAGTCACTTGTATTACGTTTAAGGTGGCAGTTACTGATAATGCAGACATGCTGATATCTACAACCCATCATTGACTCATAACATTAATGTAGTATGCCCAGCACTTTGGAAACGAAATGGAATAAAAATGACCACAGTGTGGTGCCTGTGGTAACAGTAGATTTTGCTTTGTGAAAGTTATGTTTCTGTTAAATGTATACATGTGGTGGGTCATTGCTATAAGCTAAAAATAAAATCCTGGCCGGGCCATGGTGGCTCACACCTGTAATCCCAGCACTTTGGGAGGCCAAGGTGGGCAGATCACCTGAGATTGGGAGTTCAAGACCTGCCTGGCCAACATGGGGAAAGCCTGTCTCTACTAAAAAATATAAAAATTAGCTGGGCATGGTGGCAGGTGCCTGTAATCCCAGCTACTCAAGAGGTTGAGACGGGAGAATCGCTTGAACCCAGGAGACGATGGTTGCAGTGGGAGAAGATTGCGCCACTGCACTCCAGCCTGGGCGGCTGAGCGAGACTCCGTCTCAGAAAAAAAAAAAAAAATCCTAAGGCCCCAGCAACAGAACGAACCCCCTCTTGGCCAAGGAGGCCCTAGGAAAACCTTAACAATGGAATTTCCAGCCACAATGGGAAGAAAGGTGAGATGCCCCTCATTATGCCCACTCCTTCCCGGAGTTTAAGCTCAAGCGACCACTATTCCTGTTAAAAGAGGTGGT